TGGAGGTCCAGTAATAAAACAGTGGCTCTTTCTCCAAAAAAAAAATAAATCTTCTGTGACTTCAAATGAAATGAGAGCTTTTCTGCCAATCCCGCAAGTCAGGATGATGAAATTGGGTATGGATCTTTCCCTGCAGCCACAGAAACTCTTCATCCCTGTTAAGGATGACAGATCCATTGCTACAACCAGGAGGCCACATTGAAAGTTCAGAGCTGGTTTCAGAAATGACACAGTCTACTTCATTCTGGATAAGGGCACAGTCTATCATAACGGGTATTTTAAAGGCCACCCTAGATTTAACCAGGACATTGTGTTCCTTTCATTTTTTGTCCTTTAAATTTTTTTTGAAAAGCTGTTGAATATCTCTGGCCTTTCCATTTTTCTCTACCAGAAAAAAACCTATTACTAAGTGCATGTTAATTAAGCCACAGGGGTAAGACATTGACAATTCAAAATGAAAACCACAACCGCATGTGGATGTCGTATCCTGCCCCCACATGCTGTGTTCTTAAAGGGAGATTCTTGAAATCAAAACTTTTGCACCTGTAAATGTGAAGAGTGACTTGAGTGTTATAAAACAAAGTGCACTACACGCCATCAGCTTTGTTATGTCAGGACAGAAATAAAGATGCAATAGTAAATAGTCAACAGATATCATAGCACCAGAGAACATAAATGCATACACACCTGGATGGGTGCAATTCTTCTCCCTGAAATAAATTTTCAGAATATATGTTTTAGTCTTGCTCGAACCCATCCCAAACTCTGGAGCAAACATGTTGAAATGAGAAACAATGAACCCTCTTAGTTAAAAAATATTTTACATTTTAGTGGGACTGGAAATTTGAATAACTGGCTCTTTCTCCCCTTTTAAATCAGTGACACCACGTTGTCTTTAAATAGTGTGCATTTGCAAGAAGGCCCCCATTGCTATCTGCTGCCTGACAGACCATCGGTTGCCTGGCCTTGATCCTCCTTCCCTACTTCCCTCCCTTCCTCCCTCCCTCCCTCCCTCCCTCCTTTCCTTCCTTCCTTTATTCCTTTTTTTGAGAGGAAGTTTCGCTCTCATTGCCCAGGCTGGAGTGCAATAGTGCTATCTCGGCTCACCACAACCTCTGCCTCCTGGGTTCAAGTGATTCTCCTGCCTCAGCCTCCTGAGTAGCTGGGATTACAGGCACCCGCCATGACGCCTGGCTAATTTTGTATTTTTAGTACAGACAGGGTTTCTCCTTGTTGGTCAGGCTGGTCTTGAACTCCTGACCTCAGGTGATCCACCCGCCTTGACCTCCCAAAGTGCTGGGATTACAGATGCGAGCCACCGCACCCGGCAGGTGAGTCCTTTTTTTAAAGTGCCTCCAAGGACAGAAGAAAGTGAGTGAGATTATTTTCTTTCTTCCCCAAATTGCTGCCCTCCTTTCACCTCAGAGCCAATGCTTCCTAAAGAGAATGTGTCCCCTCAGTGTGACTTCCTGTGCTGTCTCCTCTCTTAGGATCTCCTGGCCCCTGGGGGAACGAAGCAGCCCTGAGACCTATTTTGGTTTGTGGTTAGCCAACTGAGAGGCAGGAGGTTTAGAGCTGTGTTACCTGAGGACTAGGGCATCGTGGGGTGGGGCTGGGCAAAAAGTGGCCTTCTTGCTGCAGAAGAGAGGCCTGGTGAAGGGACCCTTCATTGACAGGCTGAAACTCGAGAGGGACATACTCATCAGTGGGCCGGGTTTGGGGCTCCAGTGAGTCAGCTGTGTTCAGGGTCCTTTCAGGTTCAGGGGTCAATCTTGAGCGGAGTCCCAAGGGTGACAGCAAGTACGAAGGATCTTTTGGGCTTCCTGGCAGCCTCTTGGAAAGGTAACATGGGGAGCCCGCAGGCTCTCTCCAGCCTTCCCAGGTGGGCACCTGCAAGGCATCTTGCTGAGGCAGTGAGTGCCAAGTCCCACAGCCCCGGCTCCTTAATCTCCTCAAAGTGGGAGAGGTGGAGATGCGGCCTGGGGCTTGCCGGTCAAACTGGAGGAGACTCCCCTGGTTGTCACAGTGCTGTTTTGGCAGGCTCCTCGGCAGGTGCCCAGGAGAGGCTCCGCAGCCTTGGGATGGCACCTCTGGACAGAGTGACTCTGTTTTCTCCATAAAGCTAAGAGGACCCGTTGGTAGAAGGTTCCAGAAGATGTCTGAGTTGCTGTTCTCTGGATCACATGGAGGTTGCTCAGTTTCTGCATCCAAGCACCACGCTTCCTCTAGCAGTTCTTTGTCCTTTTCCAGAGAATTTCAAGCAGGTTGTCGCATCTTTAGTGAGGAAGAGCAGACTGTGGAATCTGTAGCAAATGAGGGAGACTGCAGTGAGAAAAAAGGTCTAAAATTTCAAAGGAAAACTTCGAATTCTTCAAGGGAGATAGAGCTCAGTTCACATCAGCATCCTTTACGTTCAAAAGATATTAATATACGTGACTCCAGCCTTCCCATCTAAATAGCATATTGAAATCTGTTTACTGTCTACTTAATATTCCTTCCAGGTTCAAACAAAAAAGACTTTAAACATGGTGAAACCCTGTCTCTACTAAAAATACAAAAAATTAGTGGGGCAATGTGGCAGCTGGTGTAATCCCAGCTACTTGGGAGGCTGAGGCAGGAGAATCGCTTGAACCTGGGAGGCGGAGGTTGCAGTGAGCTGAGGTGGCATGCCATTGTACTCCAGCCTGGCCAACAAGAGTGAAACTCTGTTTCAAAACAAAACAAAAACAAACAAACAAACAAAACAACTTTGGTAACTTAAGATACTTCTTGGAAACCACATAGTTCCTCTCCTGGTGATGATTTCATTTTAAGAGAATCAAATAGACATTAAATCCTCCTTATCGTCTACATTTATGTATGTAAGGACGTGCTTTGGTGCATCCCAGGGATACAAGAACAAGGAAAACAAGGCTTTCTTCTCTCAAGGTTTAAATTACACAGTGAGACAAGCTTTGAAGGTAACCAATGTGAAGTATCTGGCATTGTCTTTATTTTAGATCCTATTGATCTTTACATTTTGGAAAAATGACTTGCAAGTTTGAAAAGAAAAATCAAGATGTCACCAGGCAACCTACTATTCATGGAGGTGTTTTCCGTGATTCATGCATGCAGAATTATCTCTTCTCGTGCTCAAGCAAAGCCAACTCTTCTATTTCACAACTTGATTCATGGGAGCGACTTACTGCAGTTCCGTTATTCTGTACCTTCCCAAAGGTATGTGTAGGAAAACATCAATCCTTACACATCACTTATTGTATGAGAGTTGATGTTTGATGATTTACAGACCAGTCGTGAGACTGCGGGACAGGCGGGAGACCCATCTTCCCTTGCCCCAGGTGGTGTGGAAGGTGGCTTCAGACTGTGCGTGGATGTTTGTGGATAGAACATTCGTAGTTGACCATATATTCTAAGATTATCAATAATAGTTTTAGTAAGTTTGTAATTCTAAAGCAGAACTCAGCAATCTGAAACCCTTTGGCCACGTTTGGATCGCCAACATTTAAGAATGGCTAATAATTTACTTCTTATAATTTTAATTGGATGGACAATATTCGTGAGTTGTTTGAGGAACCGCTTTAGTAGCACTTTTCCACAGTGTATTATTTGCATCTTCAACTTGATATAGAGAAGGCTGAAAGCCAATAAACCTTTCCCTCATAACCTGACCTCATTCTGTTGACTATTATTCATGGTACTTTGTCAAAATACAGTGATTATTACTATGTTTTCTGTAGTTCTGTGGAGAATACAATAATTGTTACAGGTTTTCATCGCATCTAAATATTCACTCCCACACCAAATGGCCCCACACTGATGTGCTCCCTAATTTTTATTCCTTACTTCTCCCTATGCTTTGTGTACTTGTCTATGGCAACTGCTCTCTCCTCTTTGTTTCTTTTAATCTGTGTCAGTCATGGAAGTTCAACAACCTTCTGGATAGAGAATTATAGGCTGTTAGATCTATTCCTATCAGTAAAGAGGAGAACCTCAGTTATGACAATGTTGTGACATTGATTTTGGGGACTTTGTGATCTCTTATTTTACTCCCTGACTCTTACGTTGTTTAAGGTCAAATAAGGCCAGGCACAGAGGCTCATGAATGTAATATGAGCACTTTGGGGGCAAAGGTGGATCACTTGAGCCAAGGAGTTCAAGACCAGCCTGGGCAACATAGTGAGACTCTATAATTTTTTTTTAAAGGCCAAATGAAACTAACAGGTACTGGATTTTAGATACTACTTAGATACAAACTAAAGTCAGTTCAACTCTTATTCACAAAAGAAATATAAAATTCTTAATGTTGGATTTGCTTTATTTTGAGTTCAGGGCTCAACTGTTACAGAACTTCACATGTAGAACATGCATGAGGTACCCTTTTTTGCAGAGTGAAGGAAAGAAGGCAATGCCAGTTTAGGAAACTTACGTTCAGATAAGGTGAAACTGTACTAGTTTTGCTTTTAGATTGGTAATTCCTGGGTGCTGCTCTAAAGGTTGATACTAACATTGCTAGAGAGGCATGAAATGGTCCCTCCTGACCATTGATAAAATAAGGTACATTGTTGCTTCATGGAGAGGCCAGTTCTTCATTCTCCCAACAAACAAATGCTGGGCTAAGCATGAAATCTATAGGTACTTTCTCTTTTTTTCTTTTATTTGTTTGAGATGGGGTCTGGCTTGTTGCCCAGGCTGAGTGCAATGGCGTGACCACAGCACACTGTAATCTCAAACTCCTAGCCTCACAGAATCCTCCCACTGCAGAACTCCTGATAGCTGGGACTATAGATGCTCACCACCACACCCAGCTGATTTTGAATCAATAGGGACTTTCATGGATATATACACTCAGGGCCATTCCATTATTTTTCTCCTTTAGAAGACTGTCCAAATTCTAGGTGCAACAATGTTAAAGGAATTCAGTATATTTGCATAGGCACTTGCATAATAGATCAGATTTCTTAGTCTTTGGGTTTCCCCTCTGTCCTTTTGGCCTATTTTTCTCCTCTGTTGAGGGATTAGGTTACAGCTTTGGGTTTCCTTTCTAGTCGTTTCAGACAAAGGGTTGTAGCTGTTGGTAGGAAGTTATGTATGGCCAGTAAGATTCATAGGTAAGTATTATTTATGAGCCACTGTGTTAAACATGGGAACCAAGGCAATAGTCACTGCTGGCATGACTCACTGCAGAAATGGAGAAACTTTAAAAACAGCAGGGCTTTGGGAGGTGGTTTGCAGAGAGGCAGGAAGAGCTCAAGCACCAGGGTAGATGGATCTGGTTTCTCTTCCAGTCTCACTGCCAACTGGCTGTGTGACCTAGGACAAGCCACTTCTCCTCTGCCAACATCTGTCCAGCATTTACCAAGAGGGTATCAAAGAACCTCCCTTACAGGCTTGTTGCAGAAATTAAATGAGATAATGGCCAAGGCTCCTGGGAGGCACTCCCTAAATGACTACGCCCAGTGGATCTGGTAGAATCAAAGTTCACAATAGATCCCTTCATGCTAACTCTTCTCCTTTATGTTTAAAAGAGGAAATCAATACATGGTCATCATAAAGAAAATTCACCAGCCTTTGACTTTCCAAGAGAATCCAGCAAACACCCACCCACTCTGTGGGGGAAGCCATCTCACTGTACTAGAAACTATTAAACCATTGTAGATTAATGATTCATTAATTTTAATGAGACCTGAAGAGACCGGGAAAACAAGGGAAACTGACAGCAATAGGATGAAAGGAAAGTGCATGAGAGAAACCCGGAAAACCACTGAATGTTGCCTTTAATACCTGTGAGATGGTCTGTCTCTGAAGGCGACCGCGCCCAGGTGGGTCCTGACGATCCTCAGAGCTCACCAGAGTGAGCTGCCAGGGGAAGGCTCCGAGCAACAGGTTCCACACCTGTAACAATGCGCCCTCTGGGCTGAGTGAAAGCAGCCTCGCTACCAGCTGCAAGGAGGAACTGGCCTCTCCCCTCCTTAGAGATATTTCCAGTGATTTGTTTATGAAAAAGCCTAAAGGGAAGCCAGTTCAGAATCTAAGGCAGCCTAAGAACAAGTCAGGTAAGCAATGGCTGATCAAATACAGAAATGATGCAAATGTGGCTTTTTACTTCCTCTTGAGGCGTTCAATAAATCATCACTGATAGTTCAGTGAAGCAGTTCTAGGTTTCTGTTTGTTTTCTCCAAGGTTGTGAGATACATTCTTCGAGACCACTTTCTTCACATCATAAAACATTTTGTGTTGGTCTATTTGATTAATGACATGCTTTGATAATCATTGAATAATAGAGGAAATGATTAGAGCACTGGGGAGCAAATTCGTGAACATTAGTTCTCAAATAATTAAAATGCAAATGGAAGAGCGTTTATATCCACCAGTATTCTCATTAGATCAGTACCCCAAAGAACATTTATTTGATGCCTAGGTGGAGATAATGCATATGTATTCAGCATTAAACAAAAATGTCTACAGACTTTATCAAAACAAAGTCGAAGTAATTCTGATGAAGTCTAATTCACTGAAGTTTTCATTGCTTGGATTCATTACAGATACTTACTGTGAAGGTTCCTTGAGGACTGGTAGTTCTTAAAGTAGGGTCCCTGGACCAGCAGTATCAGTATGACTTGGGGACTTGTTAGAAAGGAAAAATCTTCCCTCTGCATACTCTCCAACCCCTGGAACTCTGGGAATGGGGCCAGAAGTCTGTGTTTTTTTGTTTTTTGAGACAAGGTCTCACTCTGTCACCCAGGTTGGAGTGCAGTGGCGCAATCTCGGCTCACTGCAACCTCCGCCTCCAGGGTTCAAGCTATTCTCCTACCTCAGCCTCCTGAGTAGCTGGGATTACAGGTGCACGCCACCAGGTGGCGGATTACACCTGGTGCAAGATTACAGGTGCATGCTAACTTCTGTATTTTCACCATATTTGCTAGGCTGTTCTTAAACTCCTGACCTCAGGTGATCCACCCACCTCAGCCTCCCAAAGTGCTGGGATTACAGGTGTGAGCCATTGTGCCCAGCCAGCAGCATGTGTTTAACAAGACTTCCAGGTGATTCTTACACGGGTTAAAATTTGAGAACCACTGACTTTAGGGAGAAAAAAAACAGGTCTAACTTATAGATGTTGGCCTTGTGATAACCTTTGTATTAGTCTTTAATTGTCTCATATTGATCTTACTAGAACATCATTTACTTAGAACTTTGAAAAATGACTTGATCTCCTGCTCTCACCACCATTGCCAACATTACCACGGCTCAACCAAAAGTAGGATATCAAAAAATATCTATTTTGCCAGCATGGAGCCTGCATAAAACAGTTCTGAGCTCCTGCCAAGGATGTCTAGAAATGAATTCCTTCAATTTGGGAAGGAAAAAAAATGAATAAAGTCTTTTAGCTTTTAGTTTGTGGAAGGAAGGTCATACTTTATCTACCAGTCCCCTCACGCAATGTGATTGTAAAACTGTCTCTCCTAGGGAATAATGATAATGGAATATTTGATTCCAATGCAAAAACTTCCAGCCTCTGGTTGTAACTTAAAGAAGGAAATTAAGAGTCTTATATAAAGGTCACAAAGGATTATCAGTGAAAAAAATGTGCCAGCTCTTCTGATTCGTCAAGGAGATGGCAATAGGGAGGCATTCTGGGGGTGAAAGGATGCCCTAGAGTCAGCTTTTCCTTTGAGACCCTGGGCAACCTCACTGTGGCCCTTTCTCAAATAAGGGGTGGAGGTGCTCTCCAATACTGCAGACGGAACAGCTTGCCTCAGCATTTTTGGCCTATGTGTAGTTTTACATTTATGTATGCTTTGCTTCAATAAAACGTGTACTTTAAAAAGTACGTCTGTGCTAAAAGATGACATCCTAGTTTGCTTAGTTTCTGGCTTTGAATTGGCAAATTCCTAAAAAATATTTCCTTTTTAGTTGTTGAAAAGAGGTATGGTATTTATTTGAGCTTCCTTTTAGGCTTTAGGGTTACAAAAATTAAATTGTACCATATTTACAATTATTAATATAGCTGGGCACAGTGGCTGATGCATGTAATCCCAGCACTTTGGGCGGCCAAGGCAGGCAGGTGATTAAGTCCAGGAGCTCGGGACCAGCCTGGGTAACATGCTAAAACCCTATCTCCACAAAAAATAAAAAAAATAGTTGGGTGTGGTGGTGTGTACCTGTGGTCCCAGCTACTTGGAAGGCTGAAGTGGGAAGATTGCTTGGGCCGAAGTTTCAGTGAGCCATGATCATGCCACTGCACTATAGCCTGGGTCACAGAGAAAGACCCCGTTTCTCGAAAACAAATCAAAACAAAAAAAGATGAATATCAGGTGAACATCAATGCATCTTGATATTTTTCAACATTTTTGAGTTATTTATTCAGGAAAAGTTTCCAGGCAGTACATATTCTGAGCTGTTTCATATCCCAAACTGACTTTATTTTGCTATCACATATGCAGGGCATGGAATTCTTGCATCATGGTATTTTCCTTTAAAAGTCTGTAGAGATTTTTGCATGATTTTCAGTTGTTAGAAGTTGAAATAGGAGGTCAATAGAATACTTACTCTTTGGTGAGTACCATACCCTTAATTTTTTTTTTTTTACTTCTTTGTGACATTGTGCATGATTTATTGAAGTGTGAAATTAATTTTTATATATATATTATTTTATTGGGATTAGGTCTTGCTATATCACCGAGGCTGATCTCAAACTTCTGGACTCAAGTGGTCTTTTTGCTGTAGCATCACCATAACACGGACTACAAGGGATGCTGCTAATTATTAAAAAATTTTTTAAAGAGATAGAATCTTGCTATGTTGTCCAGGTTTAAGTTTTTCTTTATATTTGAAGGTAGAGATGTTTACCTAGCATATGTCGTGGTGGGTTCTGTTTACCAAATATCTGGTGTGTATTCTCTATTATTTAAAATATTTTTTCTAAATAAGAAATATTTTCTGTTATTTGACATCTGTCACTCTTCCACTGATTGTTTCTTCACTCCCATTCTTCATTCTCTTCATTTCATTCTTCACTTTCTTAATTCTGTTTCTTCACTCTTCAGAGTGAAATTATCTCTTTACTCTGATATTTTATCTGTTCTCTATATCATTTTTATTTTTTTACTGCTTTTACCTAAGGGATAATTTCTTTTTTTTTAAAAAAAATATAAATTTATATATAAATTTATATATAAATATATATTTATATAAATTTATATATAAATATATATATTTTTTTATTGCACTTTAGGTTCTGGGGTACATGTGAAGAACATTCAGGGTTGTTGCATAGGCACATACATAGCAGTGTGTTTTGCTGCCTCCATCCCCATCACCTATATCTGGCATTTCTCCCCATGCTATCCCTTCCCAACTCCCTATACCCCACTGTCCCTCCTCTAGTCCCCCCCAACAGATCTCAGTGTGTGATGCTCCCCTCCCTGTGTCCGTGTGTTCTCATTGTTCAATACTTGCCTATAAGTGAGGACATGCAGTGTTTGATTTTCTGTTCTTGTGTCAGTTTGTTGAGAATGATGATTTCCAGGTTCATCCATGTCCCTACAACGGACACAAACTGATTGTATTTTATGGCTGCATAGTATTCCATGGTGTATATGTGCCATATTTTCCCTGTCCAGTCTATCATCGATGGGCATTTGGGTTGGTTCCAAGTCTTTGCCATTGTAAACAGTGCTACAATGAACATATGTGTGCATGTGTCTTTATAATAGAACAATTTATAATCCTTTGGATATACACCCAGTAATGGGATTGCTGGGTCAAATGGAATTTCTATTTCTAGGTCCTTGACGAATCACCACACTGTCTTCCACAATGGTTGAGCTAATTTATACTTCCACCAACAGTGTAAAAGTGTTCCTATTTCTCCACATCCTCTCCAGCATTTGTTGTCTCCAGATTTTATGATGATCACCATTCTAACTGGTGTGAGATGGTGTCTCAGTGTGGTTTTGATTTGCGTTTCTCTAATGACCAGTGATGATGAGCATTTTTTCGTGTGTTTGTTGGCCTCATATATGTCTTCTTTTGAAAAGTGTCTGTTCATATCCTTTGCACACTTTTGAATGGGTTTGTTCATTTTTTTCTTGTAAATCTGTTTTAGTTCTTTGTATATTTTGGATATAAGTCCTTTGTCAGATGGGTAGGTTGCAAAAATTTTTTCCCATTCTGTTGGTTGCCAGTTCACTCTAATGATTGTTTCTTTTGCTGTGCAGAAGCTCTGGAGTTTAATTAGATCCCGTTTGTCTATTTTGGCTTTTGTTGCCAATGCTTTTTGTGTTTTATTGACAAAGTCCTTGCCTATGCCTATGTCCTGAATGGTTTTGCCTAGGTTTTCTTCTAGGGTTTTTATAGCGTTAGGTCTTATGTTTAAGTCTTTAATCCATCTGGAGTTAATTTTAGTGTAAGGTGTCAGGAAGGGATTCAGTTTCTGCTTTCTGCACTTGGCTAGCCAGTGTTCCCAACACCATTTATTAAACAGGGAATCCTTTCCCCATTGCTTGTTTTTGTCAGGTTTGTCAAAGATCAGATGGTTGTAGATGTGTGGCGTTGCCTCTGAGGCCTCTGTTCTGTTCCATTGGTCTACATCTCTGTTTTGGTACTAGTACCATGCTTTTTTGATTACTGTCGTCTTGCAGTATAGTTTGGAGTCAGGTAGTGTGATGACTCCAGCTTTGTTCTTTTTGCTTAGAATTGACTCAGCTGTGCGGTCTCTCTTTTGGTTCCATATGAAGTTTAAGGTGTTTTTTTTCCAGTTCTGTGAAGAGGGTCATAGGTAGCTTGATGTGGATAGTGCTGAATCTATAAATTACTTTGGGCCATATGGCCATTTTCACAATGTTGATTCTTCCTAACATGAACATGGAATGTTTCTCCATCTGTTTGTGTCCTCTCTTATTTCCTTGAGCAGTGGTTTGTAGTTCTCCTTGAAGAGATCCTTTACATCCTTTGTTAGTTGTATTCCTAGGTATTTTATTCTCTTTGTAGCAATTGCGAATGGCGTTCGTTCTTGATTTTTCTCTCTTTAAGTCTGTTATTGGTGTATAGGAAT